TTTTCTCTTCGGTGTGGGACGCAAGCTTACGAGGAATTAACGTGCGCGAGGCGTACCAGAGACTTTTCATAGATCTTTGCATCGCGGGAGCAATTGTGCCACCACTTGGAGCAGACCGAATAGTACGGTGATCTACGAAAGAGTCCCCATTACCGAAAATGCGGGATAACCAGAAATAAAATAAAAGTAATAAAAAAAAAAAAGACGGAGCCTCGGGCGAAAAGGGCCTCGACTGCAGGTTCATCAACCGTGCCCCGCGCACAGGCGGCCAGCCGCGCGGAGCAGCATCCGAACGGCGGAGAAATTAGCGTTTTCCGGGGCCTGGGGTTGACACCCGCACCTGCTGCCGGAGCGGGTTATAAAAAGCAGCGGCGTCTCCGAGCTGATTGCGCCCGTTCGACGCCGCCGCCGGTGTCTCCGAGTGCGCCGGTTATTACTCCCCTCCCAACAAGAAGGAAGAAGCACCGCAGCTGTTGAACCCCGCCAAGGAGAGATGTGGAAACGCGCGCTCTGGATTCCACGCGCTTACGTGCGGAGCCCGGACAACCGCAGACACGCTTTCGGCTCACGCCGCATTTCCATGCCGTTGTTTAAAGGTTCGGAGCAAAGTATACTCACCAGCGCTCAAAATGAAAAATTGGGAGAGTCACTGATGTGTCTCAAAACTGGTTTCCTAGATACATCTGAACTAGTAATCAAAATTACGAGTCACAATAATGCTTTTAACGAAGGTATTCAAGTTTCAAATGTGATGGGAGATGCTGAGAGAGATCAGTCACGAGAGGTTTAGTGGCGTGAAATTAACGCCGGGGAAGCTCACGTCAGCGAAACGAAGGAACACGCGCAAAATGTGCTTGAGACTACTCGCAAGTTGTACAACCGGAGACGTCACATCACTAGAGAACGGAAAAAATCTTGGCTTCGCCTTCATTTGCCATCTCCTCAAGAAGTATTTTGAGCTAAAATAATAAATGACGCGCCAAAAAAAAAAAAAGTAAGGCGCGGAGTTTACGAGGATCTGTTTAGAATTCGATTAAGCTGAATAAACCGCCGGAGGTCCTTAAACTGACTTTTAGCAAATATCGCAAAAAGGCGGCGCGCGGAGTGCACGCGACGAATTCTGGGAACATCCTGTATCCTCGGTCACGCTGCAGCATCCACCAGACTGGAACATTGCATGGCGATGGTTATAGCGGCGCAAGTTCGAAGCCGATGTCCGCGCTGGTTGGGGGCCAACGTCTCTTATCTTGCATTTGACGAGGAAAGCCAAAGTAGGGAGGGACTCGAATCGGACGAGCAGAAAAAGCACGGCAAACAATCGCGCAACGCTATAGGAGACATATCGCATTTCAAACAAGGTGAAAGTTGTCGGTGTGCACCTTGCAGTGACCGAAACAGCGAGTCTTTGCGGTGCATCGAGATATCCAGGATCGTGTCAGAACGCCATCAATTTAGTTGCTCCCTTAAATTTAGCGGAAAAATTGATGTTACATGACTTAACGTCACCTGACCTCTTTCTCCCTCTCCCTTCCTCACCCTCAATCCTCCCTACCCATTCCTCCCCCCCCCCCCTTTCAGTGCCCTCCCTGGTCACGTGACACCAAAAATCAGTCCCCCCCCCCCACCCAAAAAAAAAAAAAAAAGAAAATAGGTTCTTTACTTTCGGAACGACAGTGTAAGATATTCCGAACAATTGAAACGATTGCTCCCAAATAATGGCGTTTGATGAATTATAAGACTAAACTTAAAGGTGGCTGACAATTTTTTTTCTCTTTCCCGAAGCGTACTGATGCTCTATTAGCCCTCAAAACAAATAAATAATGGTGCCAATTAAAACCAGCTGTTCCAGCTTCGCTGCCCAATTCCTGTCCATCTACCATGCTACCGTGAAGACAGCGAGAGAGAGAGAGACCATGGTTACAGCACATACTTTACAACAGGAATACATCTGACTCCACGAACATCCAATGGCGTTTGCTCGGACAGGCTTTGCGTAGTTGGAACAGCAGCATGTGCCGCACCCTCGTTTTCTCTGTTCAATTGAAAGGGGTGGCTGCCGCCTTGGACAAGTCTTTGCAAAGCAGGTATCTCGGTGCGCCGGTGGCAGCCCTTTTTCCTCGGCGCCGCAGGACTGGGTGTGCGATCCGTTCCCTCAGACGTGTCAGACGCGCTGTCTAATGTAAATCAGTGGAGTGGAATATGCTTCTTAGGAAAAGTGACAGCGCACTTGCTCGTCTGCCCTCTCCCGCCGTCTGCAGCCGGTTATGTACAGGATGTTCCCAGCAATCCTTTGGGCGCCGCGAATGAAGCTGCGCGTTTTGCGAAAGGTATATCGGAAGTGTTTCCGTTGCCTCACCGTGATTCCGTGGGCACTGGCCAATGCACACGAGGCCTCCATCGCGCATTCGGTCCTACGTCGTCGCGAGAGGCTTAAAAAGCGGTTTTATCTTAGTCGGTCCTACTCGGCTGCAAGTGTGCGCAAAGGGATACTTCAACGAAATTTCGGCGCTTATTTTATGGTCTATATGTGTTTAAAGAAGCAGTATCACATCGAACACACCAATATATTGTTAAAAAGTCACGAAAAGAAATTTTAAAACAACAGGGATGCCACCGTATCGTTTTTTCAACCGTAACAGAAACTAAGACATGTTTTCCAGGATGCTTCAGCTGGTTCACTATTTTCGAAAATTCCAAATGACACTGTCTGCACGATCTTCAACGAGGTAACCTACAACGAAAGTACGTATTGCCCTTTCATACAGCAGCATGGTAAAGCTTCCTGTTCAAGGCCACACCTACTAATAAAGAATACCAGTTCATTCCACCGTGACGTCATGTGATAAATGTTGACAGGGGCGTCCTTATAGGGCAGGGGCGTGGTGACGTTTTGATGGGATTTAGCATGACATAGAATCTATTTAGAGGTCGAAGTATTTTCGCATCCCTCGTCAGACAGACAGGATGTCAGGGAAGGGACCGCGGTCAGTCCTTGATGGAACGTATCGCCGATATACTTTTACAAGTATATTTCAGTATCAGTATTTTAGCTACTATTTTAATGTAATTGTATTTCCAAATACATTTTTGGGTATTTCTGCCCAACCCTGGTTGAAGTATCCCTTTAAACTGCCGTCCGACCACAGCGGCCACTCGAAGGAAAGAGAGCAGGCCGGACGTGGCTGCGGGCAGCATGATCGCGCCGCATTGCCCCTCCTCCACCCGCTCCTGCCCGTTTCGATCTCCATGAACGTCGTACTGGCTCGCGGCGGCGTAATTACTGCTGCCTGGTGCGGGTTAACGACGCCAGGTTACCAGTCGCACTACACTGACCGTCAATCTACAGCAGAGTTAATCATGGGCATACCAACCTATAAGTCTCTCTCCTGGTAGAGCTGGAGTCAGTTGGCTCCAGCTCTACACAGTGGGTACGCGCGGAGCACACGATCGAGCTAGTCCAATCCATAATTCCGACAATGTTTACTTCCGAGCGACTGACGTACCCGGCGCGACACAGGCATACAAAACGACCAAGCGGTCTCGACAGTGGTCTATGTGCTCATCCGGGGTAGGGGATTTACTCTGGATAGCCAGCCCGGCATCACGAATTGTTGGGAGGGTTCCGGGGCAGGGGACGTTCGACACAATGGGAGGGTGTCTACAAATCACTAACGCGTAGCCAGTAAGCTAGTAAAATGCGAAAAAGCGCAGATGTGTTCGCGCTAAGAGTGTCAAGCCATAGCCTCCTCTCTACTCACAAATCCTGGCAGTTCGACGACGGAGCCATAGAGTGCCCGGTCGCAGGTTTGGAGCGCGAGGGTCTGGTAGCACAGAGCTTCAAATAGCCCTTTCTCGGGGAACCTGGACATCAGCGCACAGCTTTTGAAGCGGCGAGGACTCGAAACACACTTGTACGCTCGGGAGAAGTGTGTTGCGGCGTCTCGCCGCAGCGGGGCGCCAGTCACGAGGCTCTCCTCTCCCCATCCGTTTTCAGCCGCTCGCCCTTTTCCATTCCGGCGGCCGCTTCTCGTGGAGATCTGCCAGGCTTTGTCAGTATATAGGGGCTATGGTCAAGCGCAGACTCTAACGTACGCGGCTTAACGAGTGCATGTTTCGTGCTGTTGCCTATTTACCGCCGTGCTGCAGCATTTTCAGAGTTTCCCCCTTTAGACGCTGCAGCGACGCACATACATAAGAACAATTATGCAGTAGCACGAGCGCGTCCCACCACGGATATGTATTTCAACTTGTGCGAGCAAGCTGGCTCGAGACATTAACTAACCCCTGGAAGCATGCGCACTGTGTTCCAAAGTAGACCGGGATAGGCAGGTACGAGCGCAAGCTTCTATGAGACACGCTGCTATGCTCCGTTCACGGAGACTGCAGCCAATGCCACAAGCACGAGAGCTGAAGGTCGCGGCTTTGAAGCGTCTTCCGCAGAAAGCACTCGCGCTGGAAATTAGGAGCTTTAGCTGCAATCTTAGCTTAAGGGTGAACAGAGTATGGCGTTTAAATTCTAGCGCTTGGCACGAGCCCTCGGCGCCAGCTGTTTCTACACTACGTTTCATACACAGTGCCCAGTGCTGCCAAAGCTACTGAAGCGAGCGCGTGATTTTGACAGCATTGTGCACTATGTAGAAAAGAGCACCATTCGATGCAACGTCGATTTAGGCGAGCTTTGGTTACCGTTTGCTTGCACCTGGTCAGTCCGCGCGCGAGCGTGACAGTGCGGTTAGCTCGCACTCGGTGACGGCCCGCTCAAAAAGAAACGGCTCATTCGTAGCGCGAAAGGGAGTTTAGGGGAGAAACTCCTTTTAGCAGCGCACACCTTGGCTGTCCGTGGTGATGGAGAGACGAGCGCTCAAGAAAGAAAAAGAGCCGCAAGCAGGCAGGGATCAATACAGAGCAAGGCGGGGACCGCTCTCGGCAGGAGAAGCCAGCTCGCAAGGTGCGGCCGCCGCGCGAAGACACCACCCCAAAGAGGCAAACGTAAAACTCACGGCCAGCGCGGTGCCGTCGGACCACGCGGGTGTGTTCTCATCGCCGAATCCGGAACAATCGGCCGGCGCCGTGCCAACGGAATTCCACTCCGACGCCGGACGGTGTTGATCCGCCCCACGCTGCAGGATCGCACGCGCCGTCTGCCGCGTCGCCAGGTTCGTCGTGCGACGGGGGACACTTTCCGGGGAAGGGGTGACGGCGACACGCGGTGCCGTACGAGCTTGGCCAAACCGCCAGCGAAGCCGACGGGCAGCGGCCGAAAGCAGACGATGAAAGTCAGTCGTCGAGGAGGGAACGACGGACGGGCGAACAGCCGTCGCAAGAATCGTGGACGACGTCGGGGGATCGCGGTGCTGTTGCCGGTGTTGCGCCGCCGCTCCCGCTTGCTCAAACACCTCCTCTCCCGTAGCGCACTCCGCCCTCTCCAATCCAACAAAGTGACGTCACGGCCCACGTGACCAGGGCGCCGCTCGCGCCATCTGCTAGCATCGAGCGGAACCTGGTCGACCCGGTTGTTTTGTTTTCGAACGGATGGCATTATTCGTACAAAGTGTCGGTGAAAGTTTCGGGTTCAGCCGAGAAAAGCGAATCGTGTTTTCCCGGCCGCGAGGACAAACTATGCAGCGCTTAAAAACTCTCCACAGTGTTGTCACTTTGACGGGGGGAATAACTGAAAATTGCATCGCTTTACACATAATTGCATTGTTGTGGTCAGTTTTTCTGTGTTGCTTAGTATTTTATAATTAGAATGTAGGAATAACAGATAACAAAAACAGACAAGCTGGTGAGCTTCTATCATTATAAAAACCCGGATTTTCGTAATGGTGTTATGGCGATAACCTTTTGTATGGACTTTTCGGGCTGAGCCATTTTAATAAAAATCGCAAGCTAACAAAAAAAAAAAAATACGAGTATGAAAGCGAACGGAAATAGAACGACTCGAATATCAAAGGACATTTAGAAAATAGTAGAGAGACACAAATGATTTCCAGTGATGACAATACAATTATAATGCAATTAAATGCGAAGGTGCAAGCGAGCTGGACAAGAATGACGAAAATAATCCCCGGAGAAGGGGAACAAGAGGGACGAAGGACAAACACAAATCTCCAAACACAGCTAGGTGACTGGTGCGCAACCAAAAAAATCGACCTGGTCCGGTTATCGAACCCGGGACCTCTCCATTTCCAGTGGAGCGCTTATAACCATAACCTTAAAATGGAAGCCTTTCACCCTTGTTGTTGTTAGACTGGTGGCAGCTGATAAAACCTGTTTGCTTTACTGACGTCTAACCCCTGGTTAGCTCAGTTGGTAGAGAGTTCCACTGAACATGGAGAGCTCCCGGGTTCGATAACCGGACTAGGCGGATTCGCGCACCACTCGCCTAGCTGTGTTTGGAAATTTTGTGTTTGTCCTTTGTCCCCCTTGTTCCCGTTCTCCAGGGATTATTTTCGTCATGAGAATACAAGCTGGTCATCTACTCGGGTCTTCGGATCGTAAACCTGTTTTCCAGATTTGTTACCGGCAAAGTACAAAGTACACAGTTTATGGACGTCTCCATTTCGTTGCTTTTTCAAAATGGTTTTAATCGCCGACAGCTAAGGAGTTTAGAAACGTTTCAATAGAGCCTGAACTCCCGCTTCCCCTTAGAGCACACAGAGAGCCAATCCAATGAAGTCCAGTTTCAGTGGCAAAAAGGCGTCCCCTCATCTCAAAACTCAAACCGCGTGGCAACTGGGGGATGACAGAGGTTTTCAATTCTATCATTGGCTGCCCTGATCAAAGGTATACCAATGATTGATGCTTCGGGTGCAACGCGGTGCAGTCAGACATCTACACGTTACCAAAAATGTAACTAAATACCATTAGCCGCTCACAAGGTAACTAAATACGTTGCTCGTTACCGATTCTCAAAAGGAACGCGTTACTTTACCTCAAAAGTAGCGAGGTACATTTCTCGTTACTTTGACGACCAAATACGCAACCACTTTTTTTTTTTTTTTCATAACATCTTGTTTTCTTCTCAGTAGTCGTTGCATTCAAGCAGTAGCTGCCTCTCCAAGTTTTCATCAGATATATTTCCCGGCTTCTTTGAGAATACATCTCCGGCGACGCTGAAGAGTCGTTCTACCGACGCGCTCGAAGGAACGGCAGTGTTGTGCTTCAGGAAGAGCTGATGAATCTGAGATTCCCCTCTTTTTCTTTTCTCTGCTTCTAAAGTTCGAAGTTGAAAATGGTTTCTGCGCCTTCCAGCGTTGGCAAGCTCCGGGTTAGCATTCGGTCAGTACTCGATTTTAGAAATGTTCAACCAACGAACCTTACCGTGTTCTCTGGGTGAAGGATATTCCCAGCTGTAGAGTTCGACAGACGTGTTCGGCGATAAACGGTACTATACTGTCATACGGTTTGGTTGTTTTGTCGGGTTGCCCATCTGCCTTTGTCGCAATAGACGCATACTCAGGTTAGAATTAAAACGAGAGGGTTTAAACGCTGTTGTATCGTTGCTCCCCAAAAGTAACAAAATACGTTACTCATTACCGAAAAAAGTAACTAGGTAGAAGTAACTTGTTACTAGTAACGTGTTACGTGCATGTCCGGGCGCAGTACCCTACCAAAAAGAAAAAGAGAACAGTATCAACTGGATCATGGAACAGAAAATCTAACTGGATTTGTTGCTGGAAACCTGCAATCCATGCAGTTTGCAGACAATTTCCGCCAGCTCTACATGATGGTCAATTTGCCTGGTTTCTTCATATCTCGCTACTGCAGGTCAGGAACATCGGTGGTTTTGAAGGGTCAAGTTGGATGGGCATCTCAAAACTATAACTTCTCAGTGGATACCCTGAAGGCGACACGTACTGAATACACTTGTCACACGAGAAAGAGCGGGACAACTCAAACATGACCTCTCCACACACGTATCTAAACACTTCTCGTCCACGAATCACTCTGAACGCAACATGCGAGTATGCGCCGTCGAATTCGGCTTCCATACACCCCACCTCACGGAAAAAAAGAAAACATTACTTTTTAACATAAAGGCGGAATTTCCTTCTGGTTTAAACGAGAAACATTTTTTCGACTATTAGACATTCCCCTTTCCCCCGCTCCACTCTTTCTCTTCCTTTTTTTTAATTCTCGATAATTTGGTTGGTCACGCAGGGGCTATAAGCTTTCGCCTCACCCGCATTCCTCAACTTGTTGACTTCAAACCTCTTGCACCTTACTTGACGAATTTTCCTCCTCCCTCTCTGAACGACGTCACATCTGTCTCGTGGTATCTCTGCCTTTTGTGTGTGGCTTTTTTACTTATATATATATATATATCAGGGTGTCGAACCGGAACCGAACCGAACCGAAAACCGGAACCGAACCGGTATTTTTTCCGGAACTGAACCCGAACCCGAACCGTTATATTGTTATCGCGATGAACCCGAACCGGAACTGAACCGGAAAAAAAATAACGGTTACCGGCTCATGTCAAAACGGTTCGGCCACGCGCTGTTGACAATGAATGTGCTATCAATGCCATTTGTGTTTTAAGTGCCGTCAACCGACACACACCTCGCTTACATATTTTTCTTCTCCACTCAGTCTTAGGAATATAAACGCTGCATCCATGAATCTTGACCAACGCTGCATCCATGAATCTTGACATAGGAATCAGTATTGCGCTGGTCGCGGCTTGCACGGAAGAAATATGAATTGGAAGGCTGTGCAAAATAAATAAATAAATAAATAAATAAATAAATAAATAAATAAATAAATCGCGTCACGGGATTTCATTTTCTACAATCTCGTAAATCCTAAATGCTGCTGTGTGCTCATTTCATAACACGTTTCTAGGACGCGCGAGTTCTTGAAGCTTGCTTCCATCGGAATGAGAAAAGAAAGGGCTGTGGAGTTTGATAATAATGCGTCCGGTTTCGTATAGGCACTTAGAAGCTAACATATTTGTGTGACAGCGAACTCTTCTATTTTAATATTTATCCTATTACGTCCTTCTGGCGTTGCGTTCGGTGAAGTGTTTTTCATATTCCGTATCTTGTTTAATGAAAACTTCTTTAAGAGTCTAATTTGAGTTACCGAAGGCTAGTTCAAATAAAGAAAGCTGTATTTTCTCCCCACTGTTCCTTCAATTGCTTACACGCCGAGGTGGCGGGATAGTTAGCGAGTCCTACTTGTAAGTAGGTTTGTAAGGAGGTCGCGGATTTTACAGCTAATGCGTCGGACCCAATTAGATGAAGTCCGAATGCGTAAACGTCGGTGAGGTAACCTTTGAGCGCACATAAAAAAAACCATTCCTGGTAGAAATCCCTGAGCCTTACACTACGATGTATCCCGTTTCGTATGTGCTGATTTCAGATGTTTTATTTGTAATTTATTCTGATGTTGCAATTTGTCATTTATAATTTCCGAACCGGTTCGCGAACCGGTTCAGCGCCCCGAACCGGTTCGCGGATCGAATTAATCGAACCGGAACTGAACCGGAACAAAATAAAGTTACCTGAACCTGAACCGTAACCGAACTCGTATTTTTTTTCGGTTCGACACACTGATATATATATATATATATATATATATATATATATATATATATATATATATATATATATATATATATATATATATATACATATATAGTATCTGAAGAAGACCGTTTTGTCGAAATGTCGTTCCCCTCCTCTCCTTTGGCACCTTCTCTTTCCCTTCATATCCCCCCTGCTAATACACTAAAGCGCCGTTCACACATATGCAACCGAGAGAGACCAGACCGGTTTTTAAGCCTCTTGCGACGTCTTAGGTGCGCTGCAGCGGACCTGGGGCTCCTAAGACGTCGCAAGAGGCTTAAAAACCGGTCTGGTATCTCCCGGTCTAAAGGCCCGTTCACACTCTTGCGACTGCTTGCGACCTCTTAAACCTGGGTTCCTTAAAACTTCTTAAACCAGGGAACACACTGGCGCCATCTATTGGGAAGCAGTGTAAACTCGGCGGTCCGGCATATTTTTTTTTTATTTCTCGCGCAATATCCTTTCTTTCTTGGCTCGAAAAACTTTTGTCAATGTTATAAACGAGCCTTTCTATGGGTATTACGCACATTTGACCTCGGAAATCCCGCAAAACCTTCGCTTTTGTGAAATGCAGTTCTAGGGTCACCGCATAGATGGCGCCACAATGCCAGTGTGTCCCCTCATTCTAGAAACATTTAAGAAGTTGTAAGAGATCTCGTCTCTCTCAGTCGTACTCGGTCGCAAGAGTGTGAACGGGCCTTAAAGGCCCGTTCACACTCTTGCATATGTGTGAACGGCGCTTAACAGTGCACGGCAGAACCCCACATCTAGAGATTGTAGGAGTGTGGCAGATTTAGAAATAGAGACTTACCACTGATTCCAACTAAG